AATTGACTGATAATTTAAATAGTCAAGCAACTTCTAGAAAAGAAAAATCTCAAGTGTCTATTGAATAAATAAAAACATTTAAATATAATTATTTGCTCTTAAGGAATTTATGACCTATTATGTCAATTACTGAAGACTCATTTATTTCAAAAATTCATAAAGAAGGCTCATATCCTATAATATGTTAAATCCCATAATTAGGTAGTTAATTCTGAAGTAATTGAAATGGATAAATAAAATTAGAATTAAATAATTGATGCTGAAATGTGTCCTTAGGCAATTAAAAAAATCATTACTTTTAGATCTTATAAAATAAGCAGTATTTCAGATAATACTAAAATAATAACTTTTTCCTTTCTGGACAAGTGGAATTACTGGTCTTAAGATAAGTCACTTATAAATAACCAATTATAGCTTTGCAAATTTTTCTACATGGCTGTGAAGCTGTCTGCTCACTTACCCTCAGGGAAAGTTTTTTGGGTTTTTTTTAAACCTAGGCAGGCCCTGTGGTGGAAACAGCAGTCCTCTCCTGAGTCACCCACCCATGCTTGGGGCTGGGGGGCTCCCAGTTTCTCCCGGGGAATAAACCCTTTTGGAGAACATTTGTTTTCAGGCTGCTGTGAGATCCCTAGAACAGTAACACAGGTTGAAAAAGAGATGTGTTCTGTTTTTGTGCAGAAACCTGACGGCAAGTAGAGAAATGAGAGGTTTCCTTTGATTCTGCCCCCGGAGAGTTAAAGATGATCGAGTGGGTCATGATAGTTTTCTGTCATTCCAAATTTACTTAGTCCTGTACTTCATGTAAGGAAGTGGTAATAAAACCAAGTTTAATCAGAACTCAGAGTTTGTGCTATACTAATTTACCAAATAAAATAACAGCACAGAAAATGTAGCCGAGAAAGTGCTTAAAATGTCAATTTATATACAAAAAATTAGCATACACACACTCACTGCCATCAACTTAATGCCAGCATTAGCATACTAACCATATTTATTACTACCCATTTTTAATCATATACATTTGAGTAGGATTATAACTGATGTAGGAAAGCATCGTTATAATTGCTCACTATATTTGTGTGTGTGTAAGAAACTGGAATTGACTGATAATTTAAAGTCTTGATCAAAACTAGCCTTCTAGACACATTTTGTTGGCCTACATATTTTGACTATCCATGAATTTAAAAAGAAGCACTGCAGATACAAAAATGATGTTATTATGCACCTATTTCAGTAATTTAACTGGCATCACCATAGACTCTCCAGTTTGCCATTTCAAGACTAAAGAGAAGAAAGAGACCCTACAATTTTTAAAAGAAACAAGGACCTGAGATAACAGACCTACAAAGACACATATTAGATATGTAGAAGTTGAATGTAATCAGTGTGTATTTTCACATAATAAGCATATTCCTGAATGAACTAGAATAGTATCCAAGGAAAACATCAAAGAGACCAAAAAATGTTATTGCCAAGGAAAATTGAATATGCTCTCAAATATAAATCATGTAGATATGTCACCTGTGTAATTCTTTCAGGTCATGCTCACAGCACTTACTTAATTATAGTATACTGCAAAAAAATTTTAATCATTGATGTTTCCATAATTACTTTAAACTAACACTGAGTGAAAAAAATGTCACAGATGAAATCTAAATCTATAGGAAAAGCTTAATTGATCAGCAGACTGTCACGAATTATATATCTTGCTTAATAGATGTCTTATTAGTAGTCAGATTTTTCATCTTCACCCGGACCTTTTTCAGCCAATATTCCAATATGGGTTTCTGTTTCAGAAGGGCAAAATTTTGTAAGATTCTGTGTCATTTGTGTGTACCACCAATCTGCTCTAATTTTAGAATAAACAGTCCTTTCTCTTTTAAAACAGAAGGCTGCAGATTGCATTTTTATCTGCTCTAGTGACTCATAAATGCGTAAATGTGATAGATCATTGAGGCAGGAGCCAAGCAAGCAGAGAAAAGCCTGCACTGGCTCCTCATTTCCCAAGGGCGCTGTGCTGCTATACCTGCAGACAGAGGAGCATATTGGAAAAGGTCTTTCCAAGTATTTATCAAAGGTCTATAATGTGTCAGGTAGTGAACAGAAAATGTAGTAGATAGGTTTGGACTTTGAAGCAAAAAAAAAAAAGGAGAGTATTTTTAATACCTACTGTGTTTCTCCAATATCACTCACTCACTTGCTGTCAGTGAGTCAATTTCAGCTCAGAGCAAATCAATAGGACACAGAACTGCCCCTGTGGATGTCCAAGACTGTAACTCCTTACAGGTGTAAAAAGCCATGTCTTTCTCCCTCGGAGCAGCAGATGGTTTTGAACTGCTGAGCTTGGAGTTAGTAGCCCAATGAGTAACCACTATGCCACCAGGGTTCCTACCAGATAGTAAATGTTATGATGTTACATTGGCCCCATTGTATTATACTAGCACAATTTCAGCTGTAAGGTCAATAGTAGACAGTAGTAAAAAATTAGAAAACAAGCCCTGGTGGCCTAGAGGTTACACGTTGGGCTGCTTAACTATGATACAAGATTGGCAGTTTGAAACCACCAGCCGCTCCATGGGAGAAAGAATGGG